ACAATGCGGGGAAACAACCTAAGAATGGGGGAAGTTCGTCAGTAGATGAAAAGTTTGTCAAAAATGCTTCATCGATACATTTGCATGGGATATTATCTGCCAGGTTTCATTAGAATGCACCTCTATGAATGCTCGACAAAGGGAGAAGAAAAGCCCGGACTCGTTTTCTCTGAGCATCCGTGTTGCATTGTACCTCAGTAGGGAGTCAGAAACAGCCTGCAATCCTTCAATTAATTCTTGAGCAAGAACATGCTTCAGACTTAATGGGGCACAAGGACGTAGTTCATTCATTGCAGCAGAAACACCTAGAAGTAAAATCACCAAGGAGAAAAATAAAATCTATGTCGAAGAAAGTAGCAAATCTCGTAAAATTCAAGAATTGAATGAGAACTATAATGAGTATGATTTTACAGGAAACTCTTAAAAGATTAGATTTCTCAGGAAACACCTCAATTCATTTTAGTCCTGTTCAATAAAACCAACACTGAGCCATTGGGAACTGCAAGAAAGAAAACCAGTTCTCTTTTGCCTATACAATCAAGACAAGAATATTAAGGATGAAAATAGTTTCAATCTAAAAGTCAGAATGTCTAATACGACCTAACTAACACCCCCTTGACAGCACTAGTGTCATTTATTCCTCTGATAGTTTTACCATAACTTTGAACCATCGAAACTTTAACTCGAGAAATAAGACAGGTTCTCTTTGTCTTGTTATTCAAAACAGGAATAATCATGGTGGAAAAAGCTTAAATCTGTAAGTTAGAAAGAGTAATGCAAGCTAACTATACTCCCTTGGCAACTCTAGTGTCATTTATTACTTTGAGAGTTTGTCCAAACCATTTTCTCAAAAACAAACTCACTATCTGAACAAATTTAAAGGCAGAAAAAACTTGATAAAACATTTGAGAAGCCATCAGTAAGGAACAAAAGCAAGTATCAGTGAAATTTACCATTAACAAACACTGCAAGAGGTGGATGCTCCATCAGATAAGATGGTGGCATTACATCACTGATTCTAGCTGCTGAAAAGCCAACTGCTGGCAATGGGACCCAACGATGTGAGTCCAAAACTAACTGGAGCCAAGTAAAAGAAATTAAAGAAGTTACAGATCACCAAGTTGTAGATTGCTTTCTTCAGGCGAAATTTGGGCCCGAATTGCAACACTCGGGCAACTAACCCATTTTTTAGGACTAGTAAAGAGGAAAATCTAATTTTGTCCATTGCCTCATACCTGAAAGTTTTCAACTGCTGTGTTCATATTCTTAGAGAATAAATTGAGTACCGCCCTGTAAAGTTATGAGGCATATGTAATCGATTATATGGGTAAAAAGTAGTCAAAAGAACAAAAGGATGAATATGTATTTACTCTTCAAAAAGAGAAGGAAGCAAGCCTCGAAAATCCAATCCAACCCAACCAATACCCATTGCACAATACTGTCAACGACAAAGACAAAAGCATCATCAAATGGGATGTAACATAGTTTCTTCTTTCACAAGAAGTAAGACCATAACAGCCACCTAGAAGCAATACTATCTCCATTCCGAATGAAGTGGTATTGGATAGGAAACAGATACACACAAGTGCTAAGGCAAAGCTTTATTATTGCAAAAATTGAAACCAGGTAACTTTCAAGTGCTCAAATGCAAAAAAAAATTCGAGTACAGGCTTCTGTTCACTAAGATATTGTCAGTTTGTCATTACGAACAAAAGCCAAATGATTAATAATACTTCTCCAATACCATATATTATAGGAAGAAACAACCATACTTAATAATGAATAATAGCTTTAAGGAAATGAAGACATTAATATTAGTAAATCTTACAGTTTTAAAATTTACTTACCATACACTGGTCCAGAATATTTGATAGCGATCCACCTTCTGTTATCTTTGGAAGCATGACATTAAGAGTTTTAAGGTGTGAAGTAAATTTGATGCATGGTCCAACTAAAAAGAAGCCCACGGTCATAATTTTCTTCACTTCCAGATGTATCATCAGCAAATATTGCTCGATATTGGTTAACAACATCGAAAAGATGCATTCTGTGACAGCTTATCATCCCTTTTAGATACTCATAAGCATTTCTCTGGTCCAAATCCTCAAGAATCCCAGTAAGCCACGTCTCTCGACATCTCAAAAACTGAACCAAGAAATAATGTCATCAGAAGGGGAAATAAGAAAGTAAAATTAATAGGGGATGGGAGAGTAAGCCCAATTATAAAAGAGTGGAGATGAAATTGATGAATTAGCATTGCGAAGTTACCTGTAACCGCATTTCATACTCACTAAATACTCCTATTCGACGTAAATATCCAAAAATCCGAAGGCATTCTGGTAACTGCAAACATAGATCATTAGCTGACTAAAACTCCAACTAAAATCGAATTTTGCATTCATTCAACCACATCCAAACAAATACCTGAATACTTGAGCGAAGCTTTTGGAGAAGCTGAGAGAGAAGAGATTGGGTTGTCTGCCTAACTTCTGCAGCCAGTGCTTGAATGGCAGGTATACTTTCAAGTATGGGGAAAACAGATATCAGTAAGCTGTCTTCCAAATAGTTGATAATGAAGGAAATAAAAGGGTTTAACTCACTTGGGGTGCATGGTTGAGAGTTTGCAAACAAAGGCTTCTAAATCAAGAGCTTCATCATAATTTCCATTCCTTACACATCTGTAGAAAATTGAGTTTAAAAGTGTCATTCTAGCATGTATTCTACGATACCAAGTGCCTCGTAACATTTACAATTTATTCAAGCACATACGTGTCCATGAGCTGAGGAATCTCAAGTAACTCAAGCAAAGTACTGTGGTTTGCTAGAAGAGTCTGGTTCATCTTTCTTTTCTCCAAAATCTGTTCTGCGGATTCAATGAACTCTGTGCAACCGGATGTCAGGCTCGGGATCTCAGTAATCTGCAAAGATATACCCCAACAATTAGCATATCTGCAGAATAACTTAAGAATTCTGAGGATAAAAAGGCAAAAAACAGAAAAATAATGCATCATAAATTCCCAATCTTGACAGGATACCTAAATCGTGTAAAAATTAAGGTCAATTCTTTTTCTCTTCTATAACTTAAGACTTCTCCACTTTTCCTTTTGCAACTCTGTGGTTGCCATGAGAGTGTTACCCTCCTTTTAAAATTAGAGAAATCTTACCTAAATATCATTAGCCATCAAAATTTACAAGTTCTACCTTCATTATCCAGTCATTGAATCTTGTATATACAAACACAGGGAGAAAGTACACACATCAGATTAAAAAAAAGGAAAAAAAATTTCATCATGCTGGGACAAATCAACTGTAAGCCCTTATGCTTTATCCAAAGATGGTTTCCCAAGTAATACAAGCATTACATCTAAAGACAAAATAGTTAAAGGTACTTCTCAATACATGTTCTATTATAATCATAAACAAAAGAAATAACTAATCGTGACTCGTCAGATCCAAAAGATAGCCAGGGAATTGCCTACAGCACTGCATAAATCACAAATCTATTACCTAACTTAAGATCGCAAAAGCCAAACACTTCCAAGTGAAACATTTCCTATTTCCCAAATTAGTTCATGACATTCTACGGATCAAATGAAACCTCAGTATCAGACAACAAATAACAGCTAACATAGCTGATAGCACTGAAAAGGTAAAAATATGAAAAACTGAACGAATAAGAAAGTTAATTACCAGAGATTCGAGATGCTTATCAATAGAAGACACTTCCTCTTTGATTGCAACCAACGCATCCGCAGCAGAAATAAAAGCGCGGTAATTACCAACGGCAACTTCTTGCATTTGCCTCTGAATCCTTTCAGCATCAACTCGAAGAAGCTCCGGCTCCTTCACGTTCAGAAGCAACGAAAACGATTCAATCTCAAAAACAACATAAAAAGAAATGAAGATAAATAAAAAGGAAACGGGACCTTATGGAGGCGATCGAGGGTGAAGGAGAGGAGCTCGGAGACATAAGGCTGTTGAGAGACGGAGGCGAGGGGTAGGAGACTGGCCGTGGCAGATGTCGGCGACGCCAATGAGGAAATCGCGTCATCTCCGTTCTCTAGTTCCACTATCATCGTCGAATTTGCGCTTAGTTGGGTCTTCTCTCGGAGAGAATCAGATCCAGAACCTGTTAACGGAGATTTGAATCGTTTTAGTCTGCTAGAGCTGTTGTTTAGGTTAAACTATACGGGTGGTCTCTTATATTTTTATTCCATTCGATTTTAGTCATCAGTTGAAAAAAAATTAGTTCTGATCTATAAGGTTGTCATTTCAACACATTTTAATCTCTTTATCGTTAATTTCCATTAATCTTATAATAGAAGTCTAACTTAATATTTAAAAAAGAATAAAGGATAAATTAGAAGATTAGTCACTTTCGTTTATATTTTGTACACTTTTTCTCATTGGATACAAAAGATATAATATTTGGTCACTAATTGACATAGTAAATATATAAAATTAAAAAGGATAAACTACACAAATAGTCCTTAACTATGATTTTCTTAATCTAAGAACAATATCAACAAAGTAGGGGCTGACGTGTATTCAAGAATATCGCTCTTTCATGGGAATGTACTGAATTTGAGCATCAAAAAACTGATAAAGAACATTCACTTAAAGCGACTATGATTCCAAGAACTGATAAAAGAACATTCAGATGGAGGAAAGCGACTATGATTCCAAGATCGCTGCAAAACAACTTAACATGCTTGAGGGCTCTACTGCTTCATCCACTAAAGCAGGTGCTAAAATACCTGCAGGAGACATTATATATGCTTTTAATTACTTGTCTCCATAAACGTACAAAACAAAACCAGTTGTGGTTCAACCAACAGCCTCGCTATGCATGACAACACCGGTTTAAGAACTTGCAATCTGGTGCTAATATACACATTATTTGTTGTCTCATGCTCATAATTTTATACATCTTTTAGCATATAATTTATAAATTTATAATTCTGTACATAATATAAGAGAGCACAATACATAAATACATATTTTAAAGAGAAAATCGAATATAAATTCTAAGAAAGTGGTGAAAATCAATGTGATGGCCATTTTTACATGCAAAACAATAGAAAATAGGAACTCATTTGGTCTGTCTAGGCAAAATCACAAAAACTGTGACATGATTGAAATTGGATACATCAACACGTCCAATATCAAAAGGCATCCGAGGTCTCATATGAAATCACAACGCACCACAGTGGATGTTCACCATAGACATTTGCCACAGTTGACCATGAGTGCATCCATTTGTCCTCTACCATGACAAATACAATGCAATTGAAATCTACACAACCACGATTTATGTCTCACGCAATTGATCATTTCAATCAGTTCGAAGGTGATCCTTTCGATCCGTTTGAAGCTGGAAAGGGAAATGTGCAAACTGGATTCGCAAGGCCAGAGAGTCAGGCTTCTTGTCGTCAAATTTGTAACCTGCAGAAAATTCAACATTCCACCACCTATTAGTAATTGACTGCTAACTCAAAATGCATCTGAATCATCTACCAAAAACAAAATATTCAGAAATTGATGAACCATATAGAACTTCATCACATTTTATACTCACTGTCCACTGAATATGTGCCACATATGATATTGAAAGCAATGATACCAACAATAGGTGGAGTGGTCCGACTTTAATATAAGTTCAAAGGAAAATCCAAATAATCAACAATTGAGGGGTAACGACACTTCAACACTGCCTTCACGAGTTTGTCATAAACCTCACTTAAGGTTAGGCAGGAATAACAAGAAGCGGGCTTGATATCATGTTAAAGCATCTAACTTAAACCCCATTTTTGGAAATAAATGGAGGGGTCCAGCTTAGATATAAAAACTACAGGAAACACAATAGTTCATAGATGCATTATATTTCGATAAATAAATAGTAGATGCTATTAAACACCACTTAAAAATTTTGATGCATCATTGTTTTTCTCTTTAAAATCTCTAAGCAAATTTTGAAGCCTAGATTACCTTGAAGAGCTCTCATGGCTATCATTGCACATTTTGAGTCGTCGAACTCTACAAAGCACAAAACCATGGTTCTATCTCCACTCTACAATTGAATTAATTAGTTAGACAACAATAAAGTACAAAGAACAGAACTAAAACTAAATTAATGGAAGAATAGAATGCAAATATGTTAACATCTCGGTATTTGGTGCTATTTGTTCCCAACACTTCTCAGGAGGACTGAATAGAAAGGCTCAAGTGCAAAACAGACTAAAGCATTTCAAGAAGCTCTAGAAATAGCTGAAACCTAAATCAAAAGAAAAGTTGAGCAGTAAACTTACACGTCTTGGTTCCTTGTGAATAACTTTGATATCTTTGTAGCCGGTAAATGGACGGAAAAGATCTTTGATGTTAGGTAATGGACAACAATGACCTCAAAACAATGAGAAACTTTGATAGTCAGGAATAATACAGTTTAATTTTGCACAATATTGTGAGGCTTGTGTCTTTTTATCTGAAATATTGCTCAGACATTCTTGGAATATTGCTATTTCCATATTCATGAAAGCATTCATGGGAATAAAAGGATACGTCCAACTTCTCTCCTGGTACAATTTGTAGGAAGACAATCCACGAACAAAATGTTTGATTCTCCAGCAGTGCCTACGTGACAATCACCATTTCTGGCAGAGGCAGTCTTTTCATCTAAAGCATCAGGAATACCAGGTTTCGTGCCCAATGGACCATCCTTTCTTTGGTCAACTAAGGGTGAATCTCGTCGAGGAGATGGATAACCCTTTATGCTAGCTCCAGCTGATACCGCACCAAGGCTGGGTTCAGGATGAAGTCCAGAACTAGAACTAATGCCTACAGGAACATCCTGCCTTTGGCCACAAAAACTTGGAATATCTAGTGGAGATGAATAACCACGAATGGAAGCTGCAGCTGATACAGCACCAAGACTGGGCTCAGGATGAACTCCAGCACTTGAACTAATACCAGGAGCATCCCATCGATGACCAACTAAATTTGGAACTTCCCTAATGGACGGTCCAGCTGATACACCACCAAAACTAGGATCGGGATAAACTCCCGCACCTGAACTATTACCTAAGGGAGCATTCCACCTTTGGGCACCTAAACTTGGATCTCCAAAAGATGGATAAGCCCATGCAGTTGCTCCAGCTGATGAGCCACCAAGATTGGTCTCAGGATAAACTCCAGAATTTGGAATATTGTTCACACCATACATTCCCGGCTGCATTTGACTCATCTGCTTGAAAAAAAATGAAAATGAAGGGACATGCAATTCTAAATCCCCAAAGTTATTTAAGATAAGATAAAAATACTAGAACAGCCTTACATCTCCCTTTAGAACACCAGAAGAGGCAGCCTTCATATCAACATGATGAGATGGCAACGGGACTGCTTCAGTTGAGAAGTAGCCAGGAAAGCTGGGTCTTGGAATACTACCTGTTGCATTGAAAGCTAACCATCACTAAAACAACCTTAACTTGTTAAGATCAATTTGGAGATAGGACATGGAAAGCGCAAAAAAACATCAGAATATTCACTATTAAATGAATCTAAACCGGGAAAACTTTTCTTTTATCTATCACTATATTCCATATTTAAGGTATGACATGACATGATGTCCTCAGTGCAAAGCACCAGACAGTGAAGCAGAAAATTTTCCACTTCCACAAAATATAATTGTTGAAAATACACCATTGATCGAATTCAAAAGGTATCAAAAACACAAGGAAAATCTTCAAGAAACTATTGAATAAAGATAATGCAAAATAATGGTGCCCAACAGAAATTCATAGCAAATGCAGTTCATTAAACGATACCATCTTTTTTTGAGTCTACAACTTACATCTTAATCAGTCAAAAGCCACGGGACATCATAATTAAATAAAAAAGGAAAAGAAAAAAACGAATAACTATACTATACTTATAACCGAGTTTATGTAGGCAAGTACAAATGATATAATATAAGCACATTACAAAAGAATAAGCTAAATTAAAAGCATAACAAACAATAAGAATTAGCAATGACCCAAAAGATAAAATCTGATAATCAAACAAGTGACATTCTGGGTAGAAAAAAAAAGAAGAAGTTAAATTTAGGGGTGAAGAAAGACAAGATTGAGTGAGCACCTCTATCTGCTCCTGCAGCAAGAGGGTATCTGTAATAAGGATCCCCCATATATTTCTGCAACTCTCAACTATACTAAACCCGTCACCTCGAAACTTGAAACCCCAAACCCTTTTTCTTATTGCTTTCTGCGATTTTGGTAATTTGGCGTTGGAAAAGGGGAAGAAAAAGAAAACGCAAGAACTAAAAAAACAAAAAGAGCTGTTTCAGGCCTGAAACATCTATAGGTTCAATTTTAGCTAAATGGGCTTTGTTTAGTATATACAATTTAACTTTTGGGTTAACAAATTCTGTTAGTCCTTGTACTTTTACGAATTTTGAGATTTAGCTCACGTACTTAAATATTTTAAATGTGAATCTTTTTTATTTTAAAATTTTAGTCCAATTATTTTGGTCAAATTTGAAACATAATATATTGAATAGGCTGTTTAATAACGTGACATATGATTGACATAAAATAAACTTAAGTTTTGACAAAACAAATATTAAGGGTAAAGTATATAAATAGTCCCAAACTTTTAGGGCGCTTGCATTTTGGTCACCCAACTTTTAAAACATACATTATCATCATTGAACTTTTAGTTCATTTTCATTTATGTCCCTATTGTTACTTCACGTTAATTTTAGCTGTCGTGACAAGTAACGCCCCGTTAACTCTCCCTTTTTCTTCTTCTTTTTCTGATTCTTTTTAAACCCAAATTTTCTTTTCACATTCCCTTTCTCTCAATCTAATTCTTTATTGTAAACAATAATAAACCCCAAACCCAAATCTCCCGACATACATTCTCTCACAACTTTCTCATTTCGACGAGAATGTTTTCATGTCTATTTTCCGAACGAAGATCGCCAACTAATGTTGTTTGGTCACTGTCAATTGGTGCAAGAATCTGTTACTCTATGGTCTTTCAGTATCCGTGGAAGGTCCCCAGGGAGAGAACCAGTATGGGTGTAGAGTGTAGCTCAAACCATGATGGTTTTAGAGGAAACAAGGTTCCAAACGATTATTAATCGATGGTAATAAACTTGTTGATGTGTTTTGGGACCTCAAGTCTGCTAGATTCAGTGGCCAAATCGAACCCATTTCCGAGTACTATGTTGCAGTTGTTTGTAATGAACAAGTTGTTTTACTTGTTGGGGATCTAAAGAATGAAGCTTATAGAAAACTGGTTACAGGCCTGCACTTATTGATCCCGTTTTGGTTTGAAGAAAAGAGCACATATTTGCGAAAAAGAGACTCAACAAATTTTGGCTCTTTTGTGAAGGAGTCGATGGTAATAATCCTCATGTTCTTTGCAATACAAGAATAAAATTTAGTATAGAATATAGCTGAAGTTAAGCCATTTATCTATGTTAAAGGTTTTTTTTTTGGCTCTTTTTGTTCTTTTTGGGTTTGGTAAACTAATAGTGAGTTATATCCATGCTATGTTCATTTTTCATTTATGTTTATAGTGACTTACAGATGCATTCATAGATGCCATCTATAGTTTGGATTATGATAATATTACATCTGGGCATTATGCGAATGTTGTTCACCTATATGCTGATCAAAGCAATAACGCTTCTATCTTAGAACTGTCAAAGGACATGGTACTTGTGCAATAATTATTGTCAATTCTTATAGCTATTTTGAAAGTGTCTTTGTTAACTTTTATCGAAATTTTCTTCTTTGCTTATTGGGGAAGTATCAGGCTGTCATATGATCATAAGGGTTGTGCTTGAGGTTGAATTTGCTTTGATATAGAAAACTTGTGTAATACCCCAAATTTTGTCTAGTGACTAAAATGTAAGTTTTGAAAGTTTAATGGCTAAAATATAAACTTTGAAAAAACCAGGGACCGAAATTATAATTTTTAAAAGTTATATATTTTAGAACAGTTTGGATTAAAACAGAAATTTTAGTGGGAATCAGATTTTTGGTACGTGAATTGTGTTAAAAGCTATAAAGCAGTAAAGTTCAGTAATAATATTGGATATTTAGATCGAATTGTAATTTTACGAAAATTTGAAGGAGGTTATAAAATGGTTGGAAATATTATTTTTCATATTTTAGATCAGATATATTTAGCTCAGAACAGTGCAATTTTTCATATTTGACCGAAACAGTAGAATTTTAGTGACTAAAATGTAATTTTTGAAACTTTTATGGGTAAATTCGAAATTCAAAGTAAAATTGATTCATCAATATTTTAATGGAGAAAATGACAATGGCAATTGATAATTTTTAAGTTTCATTAATGACAAAAATGAAATTTCCTATTAATTGAATAAAAATATTCATTATATTATATTCAACCATGAGTTAGGATTTATTTAACATTAGAATATTCAAGAATTGTTGAACATTCCCAGCTTCTTCTTCATCCAAGGACCGAAACCTTCAAGCTTGCAAGGTAAAATATTTTTAGTTTGAATTTTGAAGTTATTTACTTGATTTTTGAGTTTAACTATTAGATAGAGAATTAATCTACATAAAATTCTCTATCATTTGGTACCAATATTTTATGGTGAAGATGGTTATGTGATGAGATTTCATGATTAGGGTTTAAGGAGGTTTAGTGATCTTGAAGAATTGATGAAGAATTTTTATGTTTTTGACGTTAGTGATTATTTCTAAAGCATGTATGATGATTAAAATTAATTGTACATGCATAAATAAGGTTTGGCTTAATTAGGGTTTATGAAAATGTTAGGATTTGGATTCAACTTGATGTTGTTATGGTTAAAATAGCATGAAAATGATGCAAGGAAGATGAATTCATGCTTGAAATTGAATGGAATCTTCGCCCTTTTTCATTAGATATATTTGGCCAAACAAGGAAAATTAGGGGGAAAATATTGAAAAGTTTCCTATGGTCTAGAAATGATATTAGAAGTATTCTATGTGATTTGGAAGTTCATTTGGATCAATTTGGAAACATAGATAAGAAAAAGAGCTAGTTTCCAAGTTTTGAGAATTGTGAGACTTTATTGCAAGAATGTAATTTTTGAAAGGTTCAAAGCTGATTTTTGGTACTTGAAATGCTGGAAATTTAATTTGGGAAGTTGATTAGAGCTAAATTGCAAATTTTGGAATTTTTAGGTTGGAATTCGAAAAGACTTGATAATAGTGGGACTTGGGTGTTAATTTTTAAATGTAAAAATACCATTTGGGTGAGTTAGAATAATTCTGGAAATTCTGGAAAGTGTGTTGATTTTGGAGTTTAAGTATGAAGTTGGGATTGAATTTCAAGTTTATCAAGTTGTAAGGTTGAAATTGAAAAATCTAAGAAAGTTTAGGACGAAATTGTAAGCTTTTGAGTGTTGAAGTATTTATTTGAACTTTTATTTTAATTGGAAATTTTACATATTTAATGGGAAATGATCATAATAGTGAAGAGCTATTATGAAATTAAAGGAAAAGCTGAGTTGAATTCTAGAAAGAATTTAAAATATGTGGTTTGATTTTAGAATTGGCAAAAGTTGAAGAATCATGTTGGGAATAATTATTTATGGAATCGAATAAGTTTTTCGAAAAGTTTGAAGTTATAATGGAGTTATGAGTTAGGTTGATATCGATTTAGTTATCGATTTTATTTTATAGATTTTCAAATGTTAAAATGAACTTATGTTAGAACGATACTAATATGTAATTTGAACATTTTGTGTTATATTTAGGTATTGTCTGATTACAATAAAACTAGCAATCTAAAGGATCTGAAAGCAAGGACAAAGCTCGTGACTAGGATTATTGTATACAAGTTTTGTAGTGAGACAAATTTGAGTGCAGTTTATTTATTTAATTATTTTAATTGAGAAAGACTTGCGATAAGTCAATCTCATATTATCTTTTAAAAGTATAGTTTTATTTTAATCATTAAATATTTCCATAATGACATATAAAAGATTTATTATTATTTTGGGTATGAAATTACCCAATACGTTTTTATATGATATTTTTTGAAAAAGGTATTCAAATGAATTCTTTATAATGATTTTAAATAATGATATTTATTGTTAATGATGGAATATTTCTCGATGATTTTAAAAATGTTATTTGAATTATTTTGGGTATGAACTGCCCATGTCATGTTTTACGAAAGTGAATTAAATATATTTTTTATTATGATATGATTTTTATCAAATAATTATGAAATGAACTAAAAAGCCCATTGTATGTTATATAGAGAGTCATAGGTACAATTGACATGCCATGAGGTGGAGTGATTATCTGTTCTAATTCTGATATACTGTGGTGTATCGGAGTGTACACTAGTATATATATTCTGATATGAATGCACTTTGTGTGCATATTGTTATTTCTAATGCGATAACACTGTGTGTGCTTATCTATTCTGACTATGATGACCTGAGATATGTATTGCGCACACTCGTCTGACTCAAGTACCTTATATTCTCTTAAAATATACTTTGGGCTATAAAAATGAAATACGAAAGTTCTGAAAAGTGTCTGATTGCAAAAGAATATGGACTGATTATTCTGTCTGATATGATTTATTATGATTTTTGTGAAAATCATCAGATGATTCTTTTCAGGTTTTTGATAAAGTTCAGCATGAGATATCCAGTTTGAAATTTTGAAAGTTGTTAATCTTATTTTTTTTATAAATTTATATATATTTTGATACTTTATTTATTTGTTCTTATCTTTAGTAGTACTGCCTCACTAAGTTATACTTAACGCGTGATGATTTTCATGCGTAAGGTCTTATTGAGATACAAACATTTTATGAGGAGCCTTTCAAGCATCATGTGCAGATAATCTATAATACAATATCAGTAAGACATCGTTGAAGTTTCTTTTTACTAGTAGTGACATGTATATTTATGTTATCAATCTGCTTTATAAGTTTTGACTAAATGGTTGGTAATAGTGAATTAGGACTATTTAATTTGACTAGATTAACTTACCAGTATTTTAATATACCTAAAATTATATAGTAAATAAAATAGTATGTTTTTTAAATGGTATGAAAATTCAAGTAGATAAAAATAGTTGATAAAAGGTTGCAACTAGGTATGTTTAAAAAAATTTAAGTAACTATGAATAGTAATCGTTAGTTAATTTGATGTGGCATCTATGACTCGTATTTTTAAATGTTTACGGGCTATGGATTTTACAACTTGGGTTTGAAACAATGCTTAAGCATTTTCTGGGAGATTTGGCCATTGAATTTAGGACTTGAGGTCCCAAAACACGTCAACATGTTTATTACCATCAATTAATAAGAGTTTGTAACCTTGTTTTCTCCAAACCCACCATGGTTTAAGCTCTAATTTACAATCATATTGGTTCTCTCACTGGGGACATTCCACTGATATTGAAAGACTATGGAGTAATAGATTCTTTCACCAAGTGATAGTGATCAAACGATATTGGTGACGATCTTCGTTCGGAAAACAAACATGAAAACGCTCTTGCCGATATGAGAGGGTTGTGAGAGATAATGTATGTTGGGAGATTTGGGTTTGGGGTTGATTATTTTTTATAATGAAGAATTAGATTGAGAGAAAGGGAAAGTGAAAAGAAAATTTGGGTGTGAAAAGAATCAGAAAATTTGGGATTGAAATTAATCAGAAAAAGAAGAATAAGGAGAGTTAACGGGACGCTACCTGTCGCATCAGGTAAAACTAATGGGACGTAACGGTATGGACAAAAATGAAAACGAACTATAAATTCGATGACAGTAATGAATGTTTCAAAAGTTGGGTGATCAAAATACAAGCACCCTAAAAGTTTAGGGACTATTTATGTACATTACCCAAATATTAATGATATTAACTAAATCAAGGTTTTTAAATTCAAATGACATTATGATTTAACTTTTAACCTTTAAATATTGAGATCAATTTCCAAACTTAGATCCAAATATGACCTTTTTTCCCATTTATCTTATTATTATTTGGTCTCTATTTTTTAAAATAAATATTTGATTCATTGGATTAAAACCATAGTAATCAATATCATAATGGTATATCATATTTTTCACTCCCTGTTACTGTTATACAACAATGTCGTCCAAGTTTAGTTTTTTTTTTTCTTTTCAAAAGTAACAATTTATGAGGTTGTTTTCTTTACAGGAAAAATAGTAAGGTCTGCTATATGATTTAGTACGGATAGTAGCATATTCAGCTAAGTAGCTCACCTATGAGCTAAACAAACAAAGAGGATGAATAACATACATAGATCATAGTCTACACATCAAAATGTAAAGGTTCAACGTTTCCAATGAATTGTTGCATCCTCAGGCTCAGCAATAAGTCTACTCCATTTGCCACGCACATCATATGAAACACAATCCCCTGCTTCAAAACCTCTAAGCCTCGATAAAACTCCCCTCAATACTAGTCGGAGAGAGTTGGATGTTTGCGAATTCATACGAGAGCCACCTGACCAGCTAGCCATCAAGCTCGTGCTCACCTGTTTCTGCATGATGGGCATTTGTACTGTTTAATATGCTCTGCCTTTGCTGCTGTAATCTTAACACACTTCCCATGGAACCATTTCTCACACATATGCAGCAAATCCAGAATTCGTCGGCTGTGTAAGTCTCTCCACAAGAACCACATAATGTCTCTCCATGCTCTTCCTCTTCAACCAAATCATCATCCTCATCCTTCAATGGCATTGCCTTTGAATATTTCGGTTGGGATTCGGAGCCTTCCTGCATTTACATGATGACATCGAAATTTTAACCCTGCTTTGCAGAATTATTAATGTAACAAGCCAAAACGCTAACAACTTAATTGAATGAGCTTGGTGTCTGAAAGAATTATACTTTCAGTATGAGCTTTTACATATGTTGCTCCGACCCTTTGTTCTGTTCTTGAAGTTCTTGAAGTACCCGTATTTGTCATAGATTCAGAAATAGGTATGAAGATATGATATTCTACAGATCTTAAAACATGGAAAAATATAGAAAATCAAATATACTCGTGCTGGACATATATCGAATATTCAACACTGATGTGAGTGATGTCCGAACTGAATTATGTAGGTTACTATGTTATAAAGCCTTGTCAACTTGTGAGAATCATACTACCTTTGAACCCTAAAAATCCACACAAATCACATTTGATGAAATAACTTAAGAAGAAAACTTCTCTTACCTTGGAATTTGATTTAGATTTGTTGTTGCTATGATTTGAAGCCGACGATTCTCCTCCATCTGCTTCTTAGCCACTCCTGTCACGACTTCAAATATTGTCGGAAGATCATTTATCATATTAAAAAGTTGTTTCCTGCAATCACATTAACAGAACGGTATTGATGAGGAAAACCGTAGCTCGAAATGCAGCATGCTTGCTGGTCAAGCCATATGCAACACAGCAAACAGCATCTCGAATTTAAGTAAAGCCCACTCATGCCATGCCTAGTATTACTAAGAACTTCATGCTGAAGAATGAGTTGCAGATAAGACTTAACAACACTTTGCAGAAGAGAAAAATAACTATAAGCTTTGTCGAATCCGAACCTAGCACCAAAATAGAAAGCCACAGAGAGTAACCAAGCATCACTGTACACAGCAACCAAGGATAACCAATCCTTTTCTTGCATCCCATCTCGGGCGAAATTAATACCCAGTGCAGGTTCCGGAAGCTCCGGAGGCACCTCCTCAACAGGTAAAGTCATCTCCCACTGCTCACTGGGATATCCATAAAGGCAAAGATTCTCCTTTTCTGTAACAGGTTTTTTATACATATAAAGATGTAAGTAATTCATTCCATTTCAATTTTCATGCGTCTACAACCTAACGAGGAAGAACATGTAAAATCATGATACGGCAACTACAATGCTCTAACTGCATTCGCATTCATTGGATTGAAAATGTACATTTTATTTTTAAGAATCACAACCATCTAAGAAACTAATAATTGCCGAATACGAATCACAATCTTAAAGTTGCTGATGATCAGTAAAAAAATGCCAAATAGAGAATAATATGTTCAAGCCAATGTTTATGCATTTGTAATAGAACAGCAGAAGAACAACAACAATAATGATGGAATAAATAAGGATAATCTAATTTTTTTCCAGTAAAAAATTTCATCATTTTCTACCGTTGATATAAAAAGCCGCTGAAACTAAAAGAAATTGTTACTTCAGTTCTCAAGCTAAATCATCTTAAATAATGAAACAAATAATAAAAATTCGTCCATTTATTATCCATTGAAAAGATTTTCCAGTACCTGGGTCGCACTGCCGGTAGAACTCTTCCACATCTGCAACCACAAAATTAAATTAAGAGGAAAGTCTTTGAAAGGGAAAAGGTAGTTAAGAAGATGAAAAACAGAAAGGATAAAAGATGGTGATTGCTTTAAAGTGAAAAGTTTTACTGGTAGTGAGGGCCTTAATAATGGCAGCTCGACGACCCTTGAAATCTCGACAGATTTCTCCAACTGAACGTGGGTTTTCCATCACCATAGCTGAATTCTTTTCCTTCCTCTCTTCTCCTTCAGGGAGAGTGGGGGGTCTAGAAGAAGCAGAGGAAATGGAGGGAAAGATAGAGTTTTCACTTTTCAAGAATATTTGACTCACTAAGCACATGCCCACTACGTTTCTTTTGAGACAGAAGAAGACGGAGTTGTGGGACCCATTGGAAATTTAAGCCGATTTAATAAGAGGGAATAGTCCATGAATTTTTGGGTTTCATATTTGGCCCATAAACCCTAAATAAAAATCCCCCCTTTTCAATGAAATCAAAACCCCGGAATTAGTACATCAAAAAGGCTACTACTTCCTCTATGCCGAACCATAACCAGAAGGAAACTAAACTGGATAAAGTCACAAACAAGGCGCAACTTATCCCCTTTTGAAAAGCTTATCTCCAGGTAAGCTCTCTCCTTCTACTCTCTAGAGAGAACCCTCATTTTGAACTTCTGTTACCTTTATAATTGTGCTGGAATAATTCTATTTAAGCGATAGTGTATTGAGTATTGATATTTTGGTTATTTACAAACGCGTAGGTAAAGTATGGATATGATAGTATATACAAGCCATGCCCGTGAAGGGTTTTGTTACTTTCAGAATGAGGGTCTAAGGAATAGTAGCTTTTTAGAAGTTCGAGTTAAGGCTAAAGCGGTTACCTATTTTAGTTATGTGAAAGCTTCTGCGTGCTGTAAACTCTTACGGTTCCAAATGCGAAGGCAGTGTAAGGTACTTGCTTTTTCGAAGGTCAAAAGTGCTGGTGTTAATGGTAGGTTGCACGGTTGTGAAAGTTCCCAAGAAGGTAATTTTGGAAATGGTCATGTTTTGTCTAGTCCATCGAGTTCCATTCATGGCTTTGAGGAATCTGGTAGCAATAATCAACTGCGTAAATTCGTTAGAAATGGTGAATTGGAAGAAGGGTTTAAGCTTCTGGAGGGCATGGTTTATCATGGTGAGATTCCTGATATTATAGCTTGTACAAGTTTAATTCGTGGGTTTTGTAAGAGAGGCAAGACTAGAAAAGCAACCCGGGTTATGGACATTATCGAAGATTCAGGGGCTGTTGCTGATGTCATAACTTATAATGTGTTGATCAGTGGGTATTGCAGGGCAGGGGAGATTGATAATGCTTTACAAGTGTTGGATCGGATGAGTGTTTCTCCTGATGTTGTCACGTATAATACGATCTTGCGTAGCCTGTGTGATAGTGGGAAGTTGAAGCAAGCGATGGAAGTGTTGGATCGACAATTGAAGAAAGAATGTTATCCGGATGTGATTACGTATACAATTTTGATTGAAGCAACTTGCAAGGAGAGTGGCGTTGCACAAGCTATGAAGCTCTTGGATGAGATGAGGAGTCGAGGATGTAAACCGGATGTAGTCACTTATAATGTTCTGGTCAATGGGATTTGTAAGGAGGGGAGATTGGATGAAGCAATCAAGTTCTTGAATAGCATGCCATCATATGGATGCCAACCCAATGTGATTACTCATAATATTATTCTGCGTAGCATGTGTAGCACTGGTAGGTGGATGGATGCAGAGAGATTGTTAGCCGATATGTTACGTAAAGGTTGTTCCCCTAGCGTTGTTACGTTCAATATTCTGATTAATTTCTTATGCCGAAAAGGTTTACTGGGCCGAGCAATTGATGTATTGGAAAAGATGCACAAACATGGGTGTACTCCTAATTCCTTAAGCTATAATCCACTGCTCCATGGGTTCTGCAAAGAAAAGAAAATGGAGAGGGCAATCGAATATTTGGAGATAATGGTGTCTAGAGGTTGCTACCCTGATATTGTGACCTACAATACTTTGCTCACAGCATTATGCAAAGATGGGAAGGTTGATGTGGCAGTGGAGATACTGAATCAGCTAAGTACCAAGGGTTGCTCGCCTGTTTTAATCACTTACAATACTGTGATTGATGGGCTCGCAAAGGTCGGGAAAACAGATGAAGCTATAAAACTTTTGGATGAGATGCTTGCCAAGGGTCTAAAGCCTGATATAATTACCTACTCTTCACTTGTTGGAGGACTTAGTAGGGAAGGAAAGGTTGATGATGCAATAAAGTTCTTTCATGACTTTGAGAGAATAGGTGTTAGGCCAAATGCCATAACATATAACTCCATCATGTTAGGCCTTTGTAAGGCTCGGCAGACCGATCATGCTATCGACTTTTTGGCTTATATGGTGATGAGGGGCTGTAAACCTACTGAATCTACATACACCATTCTCATTGAAGGCATAGCATACGAAGGGTTAGCTAATGAGGCATTGGAGTTGCTAAATGAGTTGTGCTATAGAGGAGTTGTGAAGAAAAGTTCAGCAGAACAGATTGCTGTCAAGATGTAGGCTGTGGGCATGTGCATGTGAATGCTTTGTTTAGTTCAAGTGCAGTTATGGTATATAGCCATATGTAGGCTTTACCCTTTTTGTCTGTTGGAGTTTCTGTCATTCAACAACATTTGATGTTATTTAATGTGGTTTTCTTGTATTTTTCTATTATTGACATTAGTTAAAATTCTTCTATTCTATTTGTGATTTTTCCCAGAATAATTTTCCACAAAATTGTAGTATTTTCCATGTAAAGTTTTAGTGTCGATTTTATTGTACCATGCAAAATTATAAGGAAACAGAATCTGGAGGAAACAAAATTATTCTCCATTCCCATGCAAAACTTTTGCAGTTACATGTGGATTGGGATTTGTCGCAAAATTATTACAAAAAATAGTAAATTAGAAAAAATCCATGAAATTCCCTCGTAATATTTACCTAACTCTGCTTCCTTCTTACGGATATCATCTCTAGCACGATCTCTAACGGATGGATCCTCTGATTTCAACAACTCTTTCTGTTTCACGATTTCCTTCACTTTGCTGTGAATCTGATACATGCAGTAACAGAACACAGTATTTTAAATTCGAAAGAGACGAATGGATTTCGAAAATATTAGCAATGAAAACAAACATTTCAAAAAGGCCACCATTTTTTCACACCACCATTCCCTTGGCACCATATATTGTGAACTACTGTTTCAGATAATCCCAGTTTCTTGGCTGCCTCCTTTCTTGTGAGATGGAAATAATTTGCTAAATCTTTGATCGTCGTCTCTTTCGCTATCCTCCTCTGCCATTATTTATACAACATTTAAAAGGCTAATGCAAATCATTTTGAATCTAATTCAATGAAAACAGAACGGTTTTGAATAGGTCTCCAACCTATTGTGTTAAGGAAATCATATTCTTGGTGTTTGTAGCTTCATTAGATGTTGCAACAACCTGTTTTGCCACGGACAGTGGCAAATTCCTCCGTTCACTACCGGCTGCAAAAAGTTGACAAGATTTTCCACCAAAATGTGACAAACCAGACCAAATGAGTCAGTGCAGTTATGTTAAATACATGTACGTATGTTTGCCATTAGCCAGATTTTACATACCAATCAAAACCTACACACAGTGCTTCAAAGAAACTTGAGAATGGATCGTTCATCATTGTAAATCTCTATTGCTTTTCTCCCTAAGCTTTTCTCGTTGAAACTATTGAAATAAAAAAAATGGATTTTTAACACATTCCTCGAGATTAATCTAACCAAATTTTAAATTTTAATCAAATAACAACATTTAATCTTACTCGAACATTTGATGAGACCCTGCTTCACTGCTTCCTTGAACATCAAGAACAGCATGAAAGAGAACTCCAACTAATCTACCATGTATCTGAAGTTTCATTACATGTCCACCTATAATAAATAAGGAGACATTATCATTAAAAAAGAACAACATGAATCGCTGCTAACATTAGCCATTTTCCAAGACTTGAAAACGCACCCTTGACATGAACAATCTCTCTCAAAATTTCGCAACAACGACAACCGAATTGAACTTGTAGACTTGTCACCAAGTCTGAACTTGTTTGATTACCTGTTTCTCCTTCATTGGTTTCATTACAGATTAACCCTGACATCATTGTTCCCTGTAAATCACCAAATGCTTCCCTGTAATAGGAGGGATCGAACAGGAGAATGAAAAGGGTTCTGTAAGTTTGCTTCACTTCTCATTTCCCAGTTAATCATGGAATTATTGATTTGGGAATTATGGAGAAGTAGATCATCTAAAAAATTCGCAACATCAGTGGTAGCATTGTTTGGAAATGTCAATGAAACGGGTCCTGAATTTCATTTCCCAAGTTTGTTTCAACTTGATTACTAGTTCCCCATTAATCCCGAAAGGATTCAATGGAGAATACTGCAAATTATTGTATTCAGTTGGCAATGAAATGGGTTCCTGAATTTCATTTCCCAAGTTTATTTCAATTTGAGTAGCGGTTTCCCCATTAAACCAAGAGGATTCAATGGAGAATACTGCAAATCGTCATGTTGAAAATCCCAAAGGCCCAGAGCCTGTGATGAACCGATGCCAATGGTGTGGTTTCGTCTGCAAGCTGAGGATTCAAGTTGTTGATTATGTTCGCAAAATAATTTGTATAGAGGGTGTTGTAAAAAGGATCATATGCCATGCCCTGAAGATATTGAACAACTTTAGAAGTTTGGCCTTAGTCGCTGGTGGCACCGGAATGAAAGCCCCACCGTGTGGAGGAGGAGGATTAGAGGGAAACAATAGAAAATTGAAACTAAGAGTCGTTTGATTCAGATCATATTTGTTTAAATATAAGTGCGAAAAGGCGCGAGAAGACAGTTGATGACAGTTGAAAGGGAAGGAGACGTTTGGATAATACAAATAATATTCAACATAAATTGCCGCTAACATTAGCCATTTTATTACTGGTTTCTCAATTGGATTCATTACAGGTAAACCCTGAAACTGGTGTTCCCCGTAAATTTCCTCTGTAACCGGACGGATCAAACAGGGGTTCCTGGATCCTCAATTCACAAGTTTGGTTCATTTTGGTTACTCATTCCCTGTCCTTTCATCATGGACGGAAGGGGCAGCAGAGCAGTCACCCAGAAAATTTTATAGTAATAATCTGTTTTTATTTTTTAAAATTTTATAAATTTATATATCTTAAGATGTGTGAACGTGAAATCAGGTAATCGTTCAAGCTTCAGTCAGATATTCTCAGGTTAGGTTAAATCGGATATAGGTCGTGTCAGGTCAATTTGAAAGTTCGAATTGGATTAGGTTGAGTTCGAGTCAAATCAGTTTGGGTTGTTTTCATGTTGATTTGACATCAGATTCAGTTCGGTTTCAGATCAAGTTAATTTCAGTTCGAATCGATGCCAGTTCAGGTCAAAACTATTCAGGTCTGAATCAGTTAAATACCAAGTTAATTCAGGTTCGAATATACTTCAGGTCAGACTCGTTCAGATCTAGTCACATCATTGACAGAAAAAATTCAGGTCAGATCTTATCAAGTACGAATTGACTTCAGGTCAAATTTAATTATTTTTCACCTTTCATGAATGATGATTTGTAATTGTATTTAAATTGGAGTAAAATACAAACAAATATAAATAATTATGAGTCAATTTTAATAAAAATATAATTTTAAGAACTAAATTGAATAAATATGAAATTATAAATTGAAATAATATATATATATATATATATATATATATATATATATATATATTATATATATATATATATATATATATATATATATATATATATACACACACTTTTTATATATATTATCAGTAATTAAGTATAGATTTAATTATGTATGATCAATGATGTATGTACATATGTATGATGTATGTGTCTCAATGGTTCTTCGGGTGGTTCAGGGTTCATGCTTCGACTTAGAATCGTGATGGAGTCATCACCGATCGTTTAGGTAGATCGGATACCTTAAACTTACTGTTTTACCGGATGTGCGTCTTACTAGAAATTTATCGGATTCATGATTCGTTTACGATCAGGGAATGATGAGCACCTCCAAATCGTCCTCTCGGTACTATTCGATTATCTGATTGTCTTAATTGTGAAATTTAACATTTAAATAAGAATTCAAATTTTTCGATCCAAATCACTTACCCTTAACAATCTTTGAAATTTAACCGATTTCCTTAAATAACAAAATTAGCATTAGAAAAATAAAAATAAAAAATAAAAGAGTGCTCGAATACTACAAAACACAAAAGAAACCGTCAATGTATCAATTTAAATAATAATAAAAAATTAAATGAAGTTGAAAGAAAGGACTAAATTGCATTAAAATCAAAATGTCAAGATGAAATTTTAAATTTAGTGATAAAAACGAAATACGCTTCAAAAAAGGGGATTAAGAAAATAATTTAAAATAGTTGTATTTGCAAAATGGCTCTCTGTACATAAATTGCCCAAATCTATCAGTTTAACAGTTCTGCCAAAAAAAAATCTCCCAACATCTCAAACTATCTTAAACCAAGCCTTCCACTCCAGCCACTCCATCTAGCCGTCCACCGCCCCTCTGTCAATTTTCCATCGCTCCGACCACCACCTACGGTGGCTGGAGCACCCTAAAGACCCCTCTTCGACTATTCTTCTCGCCCCAAAGCCAAAACCATGCTCTAAAAATCAAGTGAAAGCCCCCATCGCCATAGATCTGAAGAAAAATCCTTTAGCCCTTACCCTTTTTCGGTGACTTTTAGACTTCTCCGGTGTCCGTTTATTGCTCCGATGGTCATGTCGGTGATCACTCCTCTCTTGGCAAGCTAAGTCTCTTATCCCTCTCCCTTATTGGATTTTTTGTGGTTTTCTCTATTTCGAAAACTCTTTTCTTTGTCTTCGTTTTGCAAGGCTTATATAGCGACGATAGAGGGGTTCGTGATCTTTGAAAATCCCGAACATCATGGGATTTGGATTTCGTTTATTTCCCTTCTTATTTCGATTGATTTCTTGTTCGTTTTTGTTGTTGAAAATGGGATCTGTTTCCCTTTCTTGATTCGGATGATTTGTTGTGTTGGATTCGATTTGCATGTCAGAAGGAACTTGTTTCCTTTTGGTTGTTTTCTTCATCGATTTGGTTGCCATTGATTTTGGTTCTACCTGGGTTCGATTTTCTTGTTAATGTTGCTTCAGATTTGATGGCTTTGGATTGATTTCTTACCGAAGTTATCAAAGATGGCCTAAAAACGTTTTCAAGTGGCCGCAACTCAAGCGGTTGATGTCCATTGATGTTCTCTGGTGTATTGTGGACCGTTTGATCATTTGATAAGATCCAACGGTTTGTGTGATGCGACGCCAGTTGATAAATTTGTTAGGGTTTGAAACCCTAGATGATGGATCCTTAAATGAACGGGCCTCTCCTTCTCTGAGTCTGACAGTTTGGTTTGTTGGGTCAGGCAGATTGATCTGCTAGGCTTCATGAACCCTTGCTGGACCTGGACATTAACTTGGATTCTTTCGGACTAGATTTGGACCTGAAAATTAAAAATAAAAAGAAAAATTAATAAAAATAATAAAAAAAATAATGGTAATAATATAAATAATAAA